ATCTGGCATGGAACATCTGGTTACTTGAGTGCGCGCCTCTGTCCTACTTTGTTGTTTAAAAATCGTGTTTTTGGCAAATCCCCCTCGGCAATTTTTCTGTATTATGTTTATATAACCGACTACTTTGTAATAAAGCTTTGCTACTGGTATGCTTCTCCCCAGAAATTTTTTTTCTTTTAATGAAGTACTATTTCTGGTTTTTAATATAAAAACTTATCTGATTTTTATTTTAATCCTAAATATATAATAACAATATATTTTATCTCTTATATTTATTAATTTTTTTAATATAGTTTTTGTAATAATAATAGTTCTGACTAATACATTTGGTCAGTAATATTTAAAAAAAATACTTTTTTTGTTTTAAATAACTGATTTAACTAATTTTTTAATCTATTTAAATTAATTAATTAGTTTTTATATTAAGTATGGAAAATAATAGGATCCAAACTCTCATGCGTGTTTTCAACTAAACCTTAGAGTTGTGAAATACACTCAATAGAGACATGCTTGTGTAGACGAGGTGACAAAGTCCAACTTTAGGGGAAGACCAGGAACTGAAAGTGAAAGCAATGAGAAGGCCCGCGTCGGTACACGAGCAGCCTCCGCAGCCACCTGCGATGACAGCCACTACTCAAGATGGTCATCCACTCCTAATATTCTTGTATTTGGGCTGCATTTCATATCAGAATGTTAACATGAAAAATAAAAAAAATACTAACTATAAAACCTAATTAACTAATTTAAATAGATTAGGAAAATAAGTTAACTTAGTTATTTGTAATAAATATATATTATTTTTTCTAAAATATTATTACTAATCAAATTTATTGACTAAAACTACTATTATTAGAATGACCATCTGAAGAAAAAAAATAGATATAAGAGACAAAGCGGATTAAGGTCTTATATTTAGAACTAAAATAAAAATCAAATAAGATCTTATGTTAAGAATCGAAAGTAATATATATACAAACACAGATATACATGACCACGCCGTGTGAGGACAAAATCCTTAATTTTTACTGGGTTCATTATTAGGGATTTAATATTTTTAACTTTTGCATATATTATCCTCTTTCAAGTTGTACTCCTGCCAAAAACAATTTAGATCATGCTTGGAACCCTTTTGGGCTTTTCATAATAACAGACGATTTACTCCTCATAAACCTTGTGATATGAACACTCTCTTTTAAGCCGAAAGACCACAAGTTTCATCCTATCTAAATGTGGAGTTGTTAGAGCTTGTCCTTCTATTTTTTTTTTTGGGTCAGACTTCTAATTTTTTTTGTTTAGAGGACTATTTTTTAATCTTTGGGAGTGGTTTCAAAAATGTGCCTGCTTTGTTGAAATAAACTCAACGCCAACTTGTATTCTCATTATCATCTGTCACTGTCACAGTGTAATTACCGCTCATTTTCCCTCCCCATTACGTCTGACACTAAGGGGGTGTTTGGCTTTTTTGCCAAACCATGGTTTGACAAAAAATTTGCCAAACATCCCTATTTTTTTTAAAACCAAGGTTTTGGACAAAACCTTGGTTTTGCCCAACAAAACCTTGGTTTCAGAGAAACTGGCGGGGCGTAGCTTCTGAGGCAGCTCACGGAGGGAACAAGGGGGGTAGTCATTCAGCAGGGGGGCGGTAGTCATTCAGCACGCGGGGGGTAGTCATTAGCTCAAGGGGTACAATTATTTGGCAAAATAAATCATTTTTCTAAAAACATATTTATTTATTTTATTAATATATACACACACTAATTTCTTATTATTTATATTATTTATGCCATATTTTTATGTTGTCAAAATATATATTATTAATAAATTTATTACTTCAAATAAATATATATTATGAAATATATATTATATGTAATTATCATTTAAACTTATGTCCTTTTTAGTAATTTCTACATATCAAAAAGCACTTCTGACAATAATTATCCAAACATGGTTTGGGGTGTCAATCACCCAAACACCCCCTCTAAAAACCAAAACCATGGTTTTGGAAAAAACAAAAATTTTTTGCTTTTGGAGAAAAAAGGGAGAGTGTGAGAGCCTATATGATATGTATCTTGTTATTTTTTTTATAAACATATTTTTTGATAAACATATTTAATCTTATATTTTATAAATATATATACACATTAATTATTTATTAATTATATTATCTTATGTATTATTAATTATGTTGGTAAAAAATATATTATTAACAATTTTATTCCTTCAAATTAAAATATATCATAAAATCTATTTTTTCTATAATTATCATATTAACTTATGTCTTTTTTTTAGTAATTTGTATATATAAAAAGTGCTTCTGATAACAACTATCCAAACACTCTCACTTCTCAGAATCACTTTTTTACAAAATCTATTCTTCACAGAATCTATTCTACCCAGAATCTATTCTCCAGAATCACTTTTCCAAACCACGGTTTGGTTTCATCCAAACACACCCTCTCACTTTATCAGAATCACTTTTCCAGAAAATCTATTCTTTCAAAATCTATTCTCTCCAGAATCTATTCTTCAGAAGCTATTCTGCAAACCATGGTTTTGCCTCATCCAAACTTGTTTGGATATAACCAAACCATGGTTTGGAGAATAGCTTCTGAAAAATAGATTCTGGGGAGAATAGATTTTGTGAAAAAGTGATTCTGAGAAGTGAGAGTGTTTGGATAATTGTTACCAGAAACACTTTTTACATGTACAAATTACTAAAAAAGGCATAAGTTAATATGATAATTACAAAAAAAAATATATTTTATGATAGATTTTAATTTGAAGGAATAAAATTGTTAATAATATATTTTTTATTAACATAATTAATAATACATAAGATAATATAATTAATAAATGATTAATATGTATATATACTTATAAGATATAAGATTAAATATATTTATAAAAAAAACAACAAGATACATATCCTATAGGCTCTCACACTCTCCCTTTTTTTTTCAAAAGCAAAAAATTTTTGCTTTTCCCAAAACCATAGTTTTGGTTTTTTTAAGGGTGGTTAGGTGATTTTTTTCCCAAACGATGATTTGGGTTATCACCCAAACACCCCCTTAATCTTGTTGCCAGACTATCCTTGGAGTAGCGATGGCCATTCTAAATAACATAATGGCACACTATATCATGTAATCTTCAACATTTTCGCTCAAATTAATTGTTATAAAGGAAAAAATTAACATGTAAATCTTTTATCCCATTTTTAATTAAACCCCTTCAAAGTTTTTATAATTTTCTCAATTATAGTTGGCCAAAAAAAAAATCTCAGTTACATATGCAATGACTCTTGTTTTGGGAGAAAATAACGTTACTTGAGAAGTTTGAAATTGTGGGTTGAAATGAAAAATGATACTATGAAAATTGTAATTAATACAATTTTTAGTCTCTTAAATTTGTTTTTATTTTCAGTTTTGGTCTATCAATTTTTAAGTTATAGGTTTTGATCTCTTAAATTTTTTTTTATTTAAAACATTAGTCTTTATAATTTAATAAAAACATAGACTATGTTTATTCTTGAGAGATCAAAACCCATAATATAAAATTTGAGGAATCAATGATCAATGGAAATTGACGTTTGGCTTTCGATCAAAAGAGAATTAGTGTTTGGTTTGCCAGTGATTGCTATTATTATGTATAGGATGAGACATCGGGTTGTGACTGTGAGCATATTGGTTTTTCTCTCCCGCCAACGATTGTGGGCTTAGTGGTCGAGCTTATGTTTTGAGCTTCAAAGCATTTATCTCACCTCAGCCGTTATTGTAAAATTCAGCATCTTTAACCAACAGGGATTGGTTCAAGTGATAAGCGGTTTGGTACCGCTTAAGTGAGGTCTCGAGTTCGAGTCTCAGCGTATACAGAAATTCCAGTTGGGAGACTCACCCACCACAGCCAGGTGCGTGACGCGGGTCGGATCCAGATGTAATCGGAGTAAAAGTTCCGGTGAACTGGGTGGGCAACCAAAAAAAAATTTTCAACATCCTTATACGAAAAAAAATTGCAAAACCCAAATCAAGTATCTGACTGTGATAAATTTAAATTTGAATTGAATTGTTACCGAAAAAGATATCCCCACTTAATGTTTGACAATGCCTCAACCAGAAAGGATACATACATGTACTTAGGAAAAAAGAGCTAAGTCATATCTTTTCCAAACTATTTATACATATTCTGTTATTTCTACTATGATATTATATCATCTTACTAATTTTATTATCTGTGGTTGTAAGATGTTCTTTTATAACCACAATGGACCTTTATAATTGAGTTTGTTTGCTGCTTCCATGGATAAAATTTTAAAACGAGTTTAAAGCTTTTCCATCATAGAAGATGTTTGTCAACTCGGTTTGATTTGTTATCACCTTATAAACAATGAGTTTAGCAAATCGGATTGTGACATAAATAATGCATGGCACATTGATATCACATCAATAAGTAACAAATAAACCTTTGATTTTTCTCAATCCACACTAAAATTACAGAGAAGATATTACCTTTTTAGCTTACCATCTCTGTTTTGGGCCCGCATATAAGTATCTTTATAAAATTTATTCTATACTAAATAAAATTAAAAAGCATATAAATAATTATAGATGGTTATATTAAATGCTATAATATAATATAAACACATATTTATTTATGATTAGCTTATCTTCTGTCCATCATATTTATGATGAATTATTTTTTTTTTCGAATCAAAGCAAAAGGTCAGTCCAAAAAAAAAAAGGAATCAAAGCAAAGGGAGATTCATAAAATTATTAGTTATAATAGATAAGAATTTGTAAATATGTGATGAAAAAGAAGTATCAAATGTATCTATCCTCACCAGTCCACCGAAGACAAGAGTCGCTACATGGGTCCCAGCTATTTCAGCGACGACATCCGAGGAGTCAAAACACAAGTATGCATATCGGACGAATGAGATCACTCCTACACAACGGCGTCAATTTTGCACTAAAACCCTAAACCCTACTTCGCTTTTTACGCAGTAATCTTCAAATGGTCTTGTTCCTTCCTCCTCCTGCCGCCCGCACATTGTCCTCGCAGGCCTAGGGTTTCTTTCTTCAATGGCTCTCTACCTTCTCCATGAATCCGCTTCTGGCTACGCCCTATTCCATGCTCATGGCCTTGATGAGATTGGGCAGAACACGGAAGCGGTTCGGAACTCTGTTTCTGACTTGAACCGCTTCGGCAAGGTCGTGCAGCTTGCAGCATTTTCTCCTTTCCAATCTGCTCTTGATGCTCTTAAGCAATGCAACTCTGTTTCTGAAGGTAACCTCTCTCATTTTTCACTCTGAACGTGTAGGTTTTGCGAAGCGGTTTGAACTTTTGATCCAATTCGTATTATGAGCGCCATTACGTGTTAGTATTGGTCTGTGTTCGTGGAATCTTATAGATTGCTCACGTGTTGGCTGAATATTGAAGTTCACTTTGTGTACAAAGTTGGGTTGTAGTCATCCTTTCAGGAACAACTTATTTGCTTTTTGTCTCTTGCTTCTGTTAACGCTTGCTGAAAAAGCAACGTCAAATTTAGTTGGTAGCGTTAGTTGTTCTTGGTGCATCTCGGAGGTCATGTTAGTGAGAGACATGTAATTTTGGTGGTTTTTTGATCGGTTTACTTAGTTCCATATTATAAATTTGCTGTCTTCTTCTTCTACATCTTCGAGAGGCTGGACCTTGATTTTGTTGGTTGGAAGATGTTTATTCTTCTTAATTAATGAACTTAATATCTGACATTCCACATTTTCACATCATTCCATGCAGCCATTGTTTGGTCAGGAGAAACATCCAAGAGATTGAATTTGAAACTTTGGGTCTCAACTACATGTTTAATAATTCGGAAAATATTGAAGATTCATCTCTGTCCGCAACTCACTTAAATGATGTTTGGCTGGGGTCGATTTTGTGTATTTGCTTATATGATGTTATTGTCTGGTTTGGTTTGATGACTGATATGTGTATCTTTGCACAAAATTGAAATCCGATGGTTCAATTCATGGTGCGAATCTTCATCTTATCTTATTAATTATGTCTGGCTTTCAGGTTTGTTGACTGATGAGCTGAGAAGTTTTCTCGAGATTAATCTCCCAAAAGTTAAGGAAGGCAAGAAGGCGAAGTTCAGTTTAGGTGTAGTAGATCCTAAGATTGGTTCTCAGATCTCTGAAGTGACTAAAATTCCGTGTCAAAGTAATGAGTTTGTGGGTGAGCTGCTTCGAGGCGTCCGGCTCCATTTTGACAGATTTCTCAATGATCTCAAGGTTAGCATTTTCTCTGGGTCCCTTCAATTTTTTGTATTCCAAGGATATGAATTCCTCCCTTTAATGTAATCATATTTTTCTCTCTGTTTTTTTAATTTCATTTTGCTTTTCTTTGACTTTCTGAAATTCCATAGCCTGGAGATTTGGAAAAAGCTCAACTTGGTCTGGGGCATAGTTACAGCAGGGCAAAAGTGAAATTTAATGTTAACCGAGTTGACAATATGGTCATTCAAGCAATCTTCCTTCTTGATACACTTGATAAAGATATCAATTCTTTTTCCATGAGAGTCAGGTATATTATTTGACAAATGTGCAAAGCAATACATATATAATCAAATCCAGTATCGTCATTATATTCCACAACCTTTACTATATTTGGAAAACTGGTGCCATTTGAAGCATGATTTTGAGTAATTAAAAACTTATTTAATGCAAGTTAATATTTACTCTGTGCTGGTTCATCAAATCTGTGCAGGGAATGGTATTCATGGCATTTTCCTGAACTGGTGAAGATTGTAAATGACAATTATCTATATGCCAGAGTTGCAAAATATATCGAAGATAAGTCCAAGCTGTCTGAGGACAAACTCTCAGGTTTAACAGACATAATTGGAGATGAAGACAAGGCAAAGGAGATTGTGGAAGCTGCCAAGGCATCTATGGGTAGGATTCTTGTGCTTGTGTTGCATAACTTTAGCATTATTTTCTATATAAAGCCTTCACTCTCTTGATTTTCTTCAGGACAGGATTTGTCTCCAGTGGACCTAATTAATGTCCAGCAATTTGCTCAGAGGGTAATGGACCTATCTGAGTATAGGAGGAAGCTTTATGACTATCTTGTTACTAAGATGAATGACATTGCACCAAATTTGGCCTCTTTGATTGGTGAAGTTGTTGGTGCGCGATTGATTTCACATGCTGGAAGCCTCACTAATTTGGCCAAGTGCCCCTCTTCTACCCTTCAAATTCTTGGTGCAGAGAAAGCTTTGTTCAGGTTTATAGCTTAGCACCTCTTGTTTTGGTTAACTAAAGCTTGAATTTATTAGTGATGTTAGCAACAAAAAAGGTGCTTCAGATGTAATACTACAAGGTTTTTGATTTTTTCATTACCGTTAGGATATCTATTGTACAAGGCCATAGCTAATTTGGTCTTCAATTTTGACACCGATATTGGATTTGCATAGGGAACACAGTTGCTTCTATTAATCATTTGGCTTTGGTGTATTCAGGGCGTTGAAAACTAGAGGCAATACTCCCAAATACGGTCTGATATTCCATTCATCTTTTATTGGTCGAGCATCTGCCAAAAACAAAGGCCGAATGGCTCGCTATCTTGCAAATAAGTGTTCAATTGCATCACGCATTGACTGCTTTTCTGGTTAGCTTCTAACTTGTTAATTGCTGAAATGTAATATATCACTTACCACATCCTTCTGTGAAATACTTTGGTTCTACTTGTTGCAGAAAGGGGTAGTACAGCTTTTGGAGAGAAACTCCGTGAACAAGTTGAGGAGCGACTTGACTTTTATGACAAGGGAGTTGCCCCTCGTAAGAACCTTGATGTCATGAAGGCTGCCATTGAAAGTGCTCAAGATAAAGGTTTGTAGGATTCAATGACACTTTATTTTTATCTTTCTGTCTCCTTAAATTTAGCCTTTGAACTCCAAGACTGACTGATTCTGAAAACTCACGATTGCTGCAATACATGGGGATTTGAGAAGTACCCAAATTTTTCTGCGCGGGTTTAGTTGTGTAATTTTGCTGATTTGTAGTAATTATTGCAGATACCGAGATTGCTACAGAAGTGCCTACTGAAGTATCCGCCAAGAAAGGCAAGAAGAAGCCAAAAGCCGCTGCTGCAGATGGAGTTGAAGAAATGGCTGTAGATAAGTCTAACGGTTTTACAAATGGTGATGCATTAGAGGATGACAAATCAGAAAAGAAGAAGAAGAAGAAAGAAAAGAGGAAATTGGATGTGGACACGGAGATGCGGGATGTGGCCGGTCAAGATGATGCAAATAATGCCGAGGCAAATGGAGAAGTTAAGAAGAAGAAGAAGAAGAAGAAGAAAGAGAAGAAAGATGATGACGGAGAAGTACAGGACGCTGCTATTAAGGCCAAGAAGAAGAAGAAGAAATCCAAAAATGAGGATGATGAATAAATTATGAGGCTGCAGATTTTGTTGTAGAATTATTGTCTTATCATTCTGGAAGCTAGGGGAGTATAGATCTTTGTCTTGAATGCGTGCTTTGTGCTACACTAATCTAGATGTCTGATTTCCCTTCATCACAGAAAATTTTGTTCTAGCAAATTTGGGCACCATTATTGTATTGCACTGTTATAACTTCTTTTTTTTTTTGGTTATAATCAATTTTTGTGCCTTGATCTGCCATGATTCATATTAGGAATTTTAAAAACATCTCATATCATATTTCAAATTTCCATGGTCATAATTACTGCTGCTGTTTGATTTAATAAGTGATTTAATTCGTTGGCACATCATGTTGATCTGATAAGATTTCCTAACCGCATTTTCCGATTAATTAAACATGGGTCATGGTGTCTTAGAAATGAATTATATTTCTCGAGCTCAGGTTTCATGTATTTTGAGTACATACACGCATTGATTGACAAATGAAGTGCTGATACGGACAATTAAAATTTGAACATTTGAAAAGCTAACATGAATAAATTATCAAATTATAACATTTATAGGTTATGTCGTCTGGCAAAAAAAAAAAAAAAAAAAGGCCATATCACATCTTTGTTGGAGAATTAAAGAAAACGATGTTGCGATAATTTATTGAATTAAATAGACATTTCCCCCAACCCAAAAGGATCAGCGAAAAATTACCATATGTTAAAACAATTGGTATTCAGGTGAGAAAAATGTATAATTGACAAGACGGGACGTATTTTATTGATTTCTCTCATAAATTAAAGAGAGAATTTAAGTATAAAATGTGTGCAAGGGCACATTTCAAACTGCCATTTTAACCCTCGCCTAACCGCAAGGGTGAAAGAGTCTGTTTGTGTTGCGAATCCGAAGCCCCAAGCCGAGAAGGTAAGAATCTGGAAATCTTCGCTGAAATTGGATCAGAATATATATTTTTGTTCTTTCTCTCTTTCGAAAGTAAGCGAGATTCTGCTGCAGAGCATAAAAAACCGCGAGGCCAAGGAGGATAGCACGCAGAGGAAGCAAAATGGCGAACGCTAACTTGGAAGATGTTCCTTCTGTGGATCTCATGACTGAGCTTCTCCGTCGCATGAAGTGCGCCTCCAAACCCGACAAGCGTCTTATCCTCATTGGTATTTCTTTCTCTTCAGCTTTCTTTGTTTGTCCTCTTTTAGTTGGTAGTCCGACAGATCCGAAACAACCGTTTGAATGTTATAGAGAGTTAGATGTTTCTGTGATGTTGGTGCGGTTACTAGGGTTCAGTCTGGGGATTCCACAAGGATTATCTGTCTTAGGATTATTATAATTAAAAAAATAAAAAATGTTCAGCCTGTTCTGGGTTTAAGGTTCTTTTTTCTGCAGCAACTGCTGCTATCATTATAATAGGGAGGGCACTTAGAAATTTCAAGTATATACCAGTGGCTGATAATAAATCATGGCAGAAACTAGTGACCATTAGGGCTGGAGATACCTGGGTATGGTATTCTTACCTGATATGGACATTAAGAAATTCGAACGTTTTCTTTCGCTGGTTCATGGGTTTTGTTTCTAAGGTGTCTTGAGGATTTTTATTTTCTATCTTCAGTGTTTAAGGATAAGTGAGAGTTTCAAAGTCTTAAGTTCAGGTGTTTGTATGTTTAGGTCTTATTTTTCAAGGTCATTTGCCCAATGTTACGTCTTATCTAGTAGTTTTTCTGTCATTCTTGTCAGTTGCTTGGTAGCTGTCATAACAAATATGCTTCTTCTGTAGAGGTCATTTCTCTGTTGATGGTGAGTACTTGGGGTATGTGCATAGTATGTAGAGATGCCATTGAAGCACGCTTTAAAAAAATGGGAGCAGTGTCCTTGTTACTTGTATTACATATGGCACAGAACTACATGATACTTCAAATTATTTGTAATCACTTGGTGTCAGACTCTGGTTGTTAGAAATATATATATCTCGAAAGTATGTGATTGTGTAGTTAGATAAAAGTTACAACAACAATAACAATAAGGCCTTATCCCACTAGATGGGATTGGTCACATGGATCGTACAACATCATTAAACTCTATTTGGAGCCAAATCTTTGGATATATTGTTAATTGAAAGATCTTGTTCAGTGACTTTATTAAATGTTCTCTTTGACCTTTCTCTACTCCTTGTCAGAGGACTTTATACTGTTTGATCAATTCTTCTCACCGGTATATCCAAAGGCCTTCTTTGTACTTGACCAAACCACCTTAAATGATTTTTTACCATTTTCTCATCAATAGCAACCACTTCAACTTTTCTGCGTGAATGATCATTATAAATCTTATATATCCTTGTATGACGTTCTCCTCTTGGCTACCGCCACTTTATGTTCATGTTGTCCCTTTAAAGCCCAATGCTTACTACCATATAACATTGTTGGTCTTAAAGCAGTGTGATAAAACTTTCCTTTGACCTTATTAGGTACTTCCCGATCACAGATAAGTCCTGTCATTTTTCTTCATTTAAACCACCCAACTTGAATTTTATGACTAATATCACCATCAATTTCACCATCTTTTTGTATAATTAATCCCAAATATCTAAACTTTTTCACTTTTGGAATGACTTGATTCCCAGTCTAACCTCCAAATCTGTTCTAGCTTGTCTCTTGTAAAAAATGCAATGCATATATTCTGTCCTGCTTTTACTCAAACAAAAACCCTTCGATTCCAAGTTAAATAAAAGTTAATAGTTCAAAACTTGTTTCCAATTTTTGATAACAGTTTATTCTATATTCAAAATGCATCCTGATTTGATGGCTTTCTCCTAGTCGAAAGAGGTGCATAGCATGAGCTATGTTCCTAGAAATACACGATATGTAGTGATTTTGTCGTTTATATTTGGATTAATCAAGTTCTGCTGCCGTTTCCTCTTTCCAACTCTAAAACACTTACAATGAGAATAGCTTGGAATTGAGCTCTAAGTTGAAATTAATGATTTTATTGTTCTGATGCATTTTTACGGTTTCTGCTAAAAAGTTTCATCTCCGTACTGGCCACTTCTTTTAGTTATCAAGTTATTCTTGCCTTTTGATCTGCAAAATATAAATGTTGGGGTGCCTGTTTCTTCAATATAGGCAGTTAAACTGCCGCATGTCCCTAAAGTTAGTACAAGAAGTGTACTACAGTTGTTCCTGTCCTCGAAGGGAAGTTGCTTGAGTTGGAATTTCCCTTTTTATGATGATTCTTTTTCTATTTGCGAAATAGAGACTGTCAAGGATTAAATTACTTTGCTTAATTGAACATGCAGATCACTATATAACATGAGACTTGGTATGCAAGATTTTAGAGTGACTGCTCCCGCATCTAGTGCAGTGTAGTTCTTAAGAAAGTCTTTTCCAAGGTCCTCATACAGTTATACTAATATTTTAATTTGATATTTGTTGCTTATATTAGATTAATATTATGGTTATTCCTTTAACATGTGATAAAGTTTTATTAACATATGATGAGAGCATTTGGGTTATGGATTTGTTCGTGACCACATGAAGTTACTTCTGTTTCTTTTCTCTTTTTTCTATCATATTTAATACTTGCTTATGATTTTAGTTATGGGTACAATTGAATACCCCCCTGTCAGGGTTTGATCGCATTCAAATAAATAAATACAAGGATGAGGAAACAGGAGTATGAGCTTTTACGATTTTCCATTTGCTGCTTTGAATCAGCTCTGATAAGTTATGACTTTATCGGCATTAAGCGTGTCATAAATTATTAGTTAGATTGGCTGAAAAATTATTCATTATTGGATGTACTTGATCATGGGCACAAATAATAAATAACACTGCTATGCTGCATAGGTAGTGCTGAGCTTGAGAGCATGTTGATGCAGGTCCACCTGGATCGGGAAAAGGCACCCAATCACCAATCATAAAGGATGAGTATTGCCTGTGCCACTTGGCTACTGGTGACATGTTAAGAGCTGCTGTAGCAGCTAAAACACCTCTTGGCATCAAGGCTAAAGAAGCGATGGACAAGGTAAGGTTCACTTTTTGTAATGTGTTCCCTCAGAGTTAACTGTATTATTTCTATGTGCACTTTTAAGTCGGTTATTGATTATTGATATGGTTTTATGTACTTGCTTTTCAGGGAGAACTTGTTTCGGACGACTTGGTTGTTGGAATTATAGATGAGGCAATGAAGAAACCATCATGTCAGAAAGGTTTCATTCTCGATGGTTTCCCTAGAACTGTGGTCCAAGCACAAAAGGTATTACGGTTGATGACATCTTGGCAACTCATTGATATCGAGTGATAGGTTGTTGGTCAAATATTTGTGCTCTGTAGTTGCGTCAGCAATATGATATTCAAACATTCTTTGCTCATATTGCTTGCAGTTTGAAGAGATGCTGCAAAAGAGAAGAATATGTGCATGTTTACTTGCCTCGAGAAATTTGACATTCAAATGTCCTTTGTTTACTTGCAGCTTGATGAGATGCTGGAAAGGAAGGGGGTAAAACTCGACAAGGTACTCAATTTTGCAATTGATGATGCTATCCTTGAAGAAAGGATTACCGGCCGTTGGTTACACCCATCCAGTGGGAGAACCTACCATACAAAATTTGCCCCGCCGAAGGTTCCAGGAGTTGATGATGTAAGTCTAATCTATAGATGTACTCGTATATATTTATGCGTGTATCCATGCATATGATATCCATGAAATTCTAATTTTTTAAAAATATGAAGTTATTAATATGAATTGTTCCCAATATTTTATTATCACCTGAGGTACAATCTTAGCATCTAAGTATGAAAGAAAACTCATGTTTATTTTTAAATTCGTCTAACAAATCAAGGTAGTTTTGCGGCATTTCTTGTTTGAGTTGCAGGCTATATTCATTCCTCTTAATGTGAATTGCTGTTGTCTCAAGGAAGTATTAATGCATTGCATATCACGATACAAATTGTCTAATTTGTTGGTTTGCTTAGGTTACTGGGGAACCCCTGATTCAGCGCAAGGATGACACAGCAGCTGTCTTGAAATCTAGACTGGAAGCATTTCACAGACAAACGGAACCAGTATGATTTTCATCCGTCTTTGCCTAAAGATTTAGTTAAACTATTAGCTTTTAATAGAGATCGTTGTCCATTGACAAGGAATTTGGTAATAAGTGGTAGGAATTGCACATGAGAAATTGCTTGTTCTTGCCGTCAGGGTTGTTATTAACAATTGATTTTGGCATGCGACGTGCAGGTTATTGATTATTATTCAAAGAAAGGTCTTGTTGCTGACCTTCATGCAGAGAAGCCTCCCAAAGAGGTTACAACTGAGGTCGAGAAAGTGCTGTCTTCATAGTGCTTTCTAAATCAGTGCGGAATGCATTTGTTTTTGGCCCATTGAAAACAATCATTGTTGCTAATTTGTAATTTTAATTAAATATGTGAAGACGCGGGTTTCGCCTGACTTTTAACGTTGCTGATTTTTCGCCGAAAACAAAACTTGCATGCGGGCTCATGTCGAAGTATTTGATGAGTTATATCTACGAAATAAGGTGAATTGAAGATGCCAGGGCGAAGTTTTGTTCATCGCAACTCGTATATGATGTCCCCTTTTTGTCATCTTACAAATGCCACAAGAATTGCCATTTTTCGTTGTAAGCAGGAGATTTTGCATGCTCAAAAAATTCAAGAACCAGAGATCTAAGATGTCTGTATTAAAGTTTGGAAGTAAAATAACAAAACTTTGAAGCTTCCGTACGCCTTTTAAAAATTTACTTTCGCTTGTTTTGTATTCATATTTTCATGTGCAACAGTTGTTGACGACTAGCGAATATAAATGAATTTTCCAACAATGAACTTAAACTGCGTATTTGATTGTTGTATGATACTTCCAATACATAATTCTAGATTAGAGCCGTACAAAATTTCACTACACTGTCCCACTTAGCCAATTTAAAGCAAACTTAAATGACTAAACAATAAAAATAAACTCTAAGACTACTTAGATCAGATAACTGAATATTAGCCTTATTAACAAGGATCCATGAGGAAACTTTGAAGAAGTGAAATTTTGTGCCCGTCATGAAGGCTGAATGTACCTAATGACAGTCATCACCCCTAGCAACAAGGAGACTGGTAACCATTTGATACAAATCCTGCAGCACCAAAACTTGCTGTTCCGGCATCAAATACAAAAAATTGCCATGCAACTATCGCAGCAGCAACTGTTAACAATGGATCAGCTTGCTTTGAAAACAATCTTGCTACTCGGTCAGATGATTTTCCAAGTAATTTAAATGTGTTTACAAGGGTGAGAGAAGAGCATCAAAACGCCAATTCAGCAAAACCGCCCACAAAGTAACTCTTGCCTGTAACAGGCCAATTATCACCAGAACAGAAATAATTATATGCAACATCGGTGTCTTGGTCATTAAACCAACGCACACCTTTAAGTCAATCTTTTAACATAAACAAACATTAAAAGACAAACATACGACCATGTAAAATACCAATGCGCTATATAACCCTGCGAGCAAACTGCCCCCTTGTCCTCAATGTTCCTCTAAGCAAATATTATGAGAAGGAACGGTAAAATTAAGACAGCCAAAGTCATTTAGTAAATCACTTCTGGTATTTGTGCATGCATAATAATAATACATAGAAATAAGAACATGTAATTTGAGCATGCGAACGGGGGCGTTATTATTTATGATGAGGAAGGCCCAACAGGCGCTTCTCCTCAACAAGATATTACTCCGACACAAATAAATTATCAACGGACCTTCACAACAAAGGATCAAATTAGTTATGCTACTAACTGAGAAGATACTTCGAAGTAACAACCCTGTTGGAGAAGAGACCGCATACCTCAGTAACCAAAAAGTCCGGAAGCACCATCCAGACATTAGTTTACTGACTACAACAGCAGTCAACCATTATACTTGATGTCATTAAGCTGAAATAGATTTTCGAGGGGGGAAAAAAAAGGGATGTGCTTTGTGAACACCGTTGCCTCCGCAGAAGATTACATAAACAGGGTCAGGGAGATGTTGTAATTTACCTCGTGCGCATGAGTTACATAATATTGCTCTGCCCTTTATGACATTACCAATCTTCTCCATCATCATCATTTATGACATTACCAATCTTCTCCATCATCATCATTTATGACATTACCCATCTTCTCCATCATGATACTTCAAAACATAAGCTAAATCCACGATCAACAATGCATAATACAGTTTAAAAAAAGAAAACTACAGAAGTTCACAGTTAACTGAGCCCTGGAGTGTCTTCTATTAGTAACATCGCAAAAAGTAACAACCATTTGTTGTAATTATAATAAAAATGCAAAGGATAAAAAATAATATTACTCTTGATGGGGCAAAATAGTAATAACAAGAACCACTAAATTCTCAGATCATTTACATATCATTGATAGTCAACCGATAAGGAAGGAGGAGGAAAGGGAATATGGACATCACCATTCAAGAATTTCATCATTTGATACAGAAAATCCTGAAATATATGTACATCTTTTAGCAAAGACAATGTATCGGGAGAGAGAACGCAGAGTTTGGATAGAACGTTAAAAAAAAAAAAAAGAAGTATAATGTCACACCTCAGGAATCTAAACATCGATTCATTGCTTCTAATTACGCCCACCAAAAGTCTAGTAGAAACCATTGCCCTGTGCTTTGCAATCACATTAATCTTTAAACGTGTAGCGATAAAAATTGGTGAGACAAACAATTATGAGAGGAAAAAAATAGCACTGTTCCTCAAGATGCCTCACATCCAGCCAGCAGATGCACCTGTCCTACAATCCTAGCACCGCTGGGAAGGTAATGTGATATTGAAGTCAGATTTGGAAGAAGGGCTTCGTGGAACCTGTCCTGAAGATGTCCGACAATCCTAGCAATGCTGTGAAGGTAATGTGATATTGAAGTCAGATTTGGGAAGAGGGGCTTCACGGAACCAGTCATGAAGAAGAGCAGCTTCTGCAGATATCCTCTGTAAAAGGACCCCAAAAAATGAAAAAAAACGACATTAGCATTAAAGTTCAGTTCGAATAAAAAACCACCACATAACCATCTATCGTTCACCTTTTCAGGGTCATAAGTCAGAAGCTTGCTCAACAAGTCAAATCCCAATTCAGAAAGAACAGGTGACCCAATGAAGGATGCAGCTGGAAACTTCTTCCGCAACAGATTGTGCCTGAAATACTTAAAGGGGTTAGTTTAAAAATACTAAAGAGTAATAACAGGATATTGGGGGAAAAAAACAGAGATGATTCCACCGATCATATTTCACAAAATGAAATAAGGTTAACCTTAGCAAGGTCGACAGAAAGGAAAATAAAGGAGCAGACAGAAGTCCAATTCAAAACTGTTTTGAAAGGGGAAATAAGAACTCACGGCTGCTTCACAAAATTGGGCTTAAATCCAGATAATTTGGATACTCCTGGCCAAATCTTTTCATTAGGTGTGCCCAAGGTTTGGAAAATCTGCAGATGTTGAAAATCAAATATTCATTAGTATATAAGGGTACTCACAAATATAACTGATGAAATACAACAAGAATTGGATTGCTCATTTACGTTATTAAGCTGCTCAATTTCAGATTTTCCCTGGAATAGAGGCGACTTGGCAACTAATTCAGCCATTATGCAACCAATTGACCACATATCAATCGCTGTTGAGTATTCCTTAGCACCTAGCAGAAGCTCAGGAGCCCTGCAGAGTCAACCAATACACATCAATGAATAATACATTAACCACTAGTTTATCCATCAATGAACATAAATGAAGACCAAATATTAATACTATGCTGCTCACCTGTACCACAGAGTAACCACAAGAGGAGTATATGGCTTGAGTGGGCTTCCATAATGGCGAGATAAACCAAAGTCACATATTCTTAGCTCACCCTCCTTATTTAACAGAATATTTGATGTCTTCAAGTCTCTGTGAAGAACCCAATTGTCATGGAGATACTTCACACCCTTGAGAAGTTTCATCATCAAGGATTTTACTTCACCTATACTAAATGGTCGCTTCATCTTCTGTATCAGCCCTTTAAGGTCATACTCCATATACTCCATTACCATAAAAACACCATCAAAATCATCCACAACAACTTCTTTAACTTCCACAATAGAAGGATGATTAAAAGATGAGAGAATATTTATTTCCCTCAAAGAGGACAATGGAAAGCCATCTCTATCCATATTCATCTTCACCTTCTTTAATGCTACAATTTCCCCGGTTTTCTTATCCTTAGCTTTGTAGACAATACCATAAGTTCCTTCGTTTATTTTCTTGATCATTTCAAATTCTAAAACACTTCTGCAGCTCTGGATGCTGTTTATGTTTCTCGGCACCACTATTAAACTGCCCCCGTCTTCAGGATCTGATGAAGGGTGAGTAACATTAGAAGTTTCACTATCTTCCTCATCATCATCCATAGTATCCAAAAGTAATTCCTTTTCGGAACTATTAACTTCTTTATTACTTGATGTGCAGCAACAATCAACTCCTGCACTATTTCTTGATGATATGGATTTTTTGCCTTCAGAACTTTCACATATGAACTCACCACTTTCTGGGCTTGACGTCTCTTTTCCATCCATGTAATCATCATCAGATGCATTCGGTGGGGAATAATCATCCGACAACCATCTTGACATTGTGATATTCCAACCTTGCACGTGTTTCTTATCAGACTGATCAACATATTCACCCTCATTGTCTGAACGTCCTTGAGGTAATGCACTAGAGGAATCAGCAGGAGATTCGGAATTAACAGCTCCGCCATAAAATAGACCAGTGATCCCATGAGAGCTTTGTCGGGATGGACAAAAGGGAGACAAAGCAGTCGCTTGTGCTGTCCTGTTATCAGATATTTTTACCTCCTTTTCTGCTAAGTTCCAGACAATTGGAGATATTTTTCTTCTCTTCCCCGGTGGTGCATGAGTTTCAGCGTCCACAACTTCACCACAATCTTCCTGAAACACAGATGCAGGTGCATATTTCCCATTATCTCCATGCAACTTACCCTGCTCGCTCTGTTCTTTTTTACCATAAGACTCAGTTCGTCCAGGACCTGAATCATCACGATCGGAAGATCTTCGACCGTTCTTATGTGTGACGTGGTGGCGGCTACTAGATCGATGCACTGCCGCGCCAGAAGAACCGTTAATATAATTATCAAATTCCTTAATGGAACTATATTTGTAAGACTCTCTTTTCCTCAGAACATTGTCCCGCCTTGCTGCCATGTGATTGACAAATACAAGTCCCCTTAATCAGTAACCAGTTTTTAAGGAAAAGATCTATTCGAGCCCCAAGCCCAAATCCCAAATATTCAACCCTAGAGCCCCAAAAAGAATTATCTTTTGTTGTTTCAATTAATACAAACCCTAACAAACACCAGAAGACTCAAAAACTGAGATTCAAAAAATAGCCTCGGAAACTGAATTGCTAGCAAAAAGCCGTAACGCTTTCTACGAATCAGCAGAATACACACACAATTAAGGCAGGCTCGTAGCAGTTTTGAGAAATGATCAAAGTATCGAAAAAGAAAACAAAGAA